TGGATATATAATTCTTGGCTGGCAATTTTTTTCCTTCAAGGCTTTATATATGTCATCCCATTGCTTCTTGCCTGCTTGGTTTCTTCTGGGTAGTCTGAGCTTATTCTTATGGACTCTGCTTTGTAGATGATTTTTTGTTTATCCGTAACTGCTCTTAAAATTATCTCTTTATCTTTGGTTTTGGCAAGTTTGATTATAATATGTCTTGGTGACTTTCTTTTGGGATCTACCTTATGTGGGATTGGATGAGCATCCTGGATAGATATCTGCTCATCTTTCATGATATCAGGGAAGTTTTCTGTCAACGAATCTTCAACAATTTTCTCTGTATTTTCTGTTACCCCACCCCCACCCAACGCGTTCTGGTACTCCAGTCACTTGTAGGTTATTCCTCTTGATGGAGTCCCACATAATTCTTGGGGTTTCTTCATTTTTTTAAATCATTTTATCTGATTTTTCCTCAAATAGATTGGCGTCAAGTGCTTTATCTTCAGTCTTACTAATTCTGACTTCCATTGCCTCAATTCTGCTCCTATGACTTTCTATTGAGCTGTCTAATTCTGAAATTTTATTGTTAATCTTCTGGATTTCTGATTGCTGTCTCTCTATGGATTCTTGCAGCCTATTAAATTTGTCATTATGCTCTTGAATAACCTTTCTAAGTTCCACTACTGCTTTGTATGTGTGTTCTTGGGCTTTCTCTGTGTTTTGCCATATTTCCTTCCTGTTTATTATTTTTTTATTTTTTCCCATACAAAAATTTATACATACATTGTTACATGACTCTAATTGCTCTCCCCATGCTGTGACAGCACACTCCTCCCTTTCACCCGATTCCCCATGTCCATTCAACCAGCTCCTAACCCTCTCCGCCCTCCCATCTCACCTCCAGACAGAAGCTGCCCATCTAGTATCTTGTATCTACTTGAGCTAAGAAGCACGCTCCTCACGAGTATCACTTTATGTCCCACAGTCCAGTCCAATACCTGTCTGAAGAGTTGACCTTGGAAATTGTTTTAGTTCTGGGCTGATAGAGAATCCAGGGGCCATACTTTCCGGAGATCCTCCAGTTTCAGTCAGACCATTAAGTCTGGTCTTCTTACTAGAATTTGAGTTGTGCCACCACGTTTCTCCTGTTCCATCAGGGACCCTCTGTTGTGTTCCCTGTCAGGGTGGTCATTGGTGGTAGCTGGGCCATCTAGTTCTTCTGGTCTCAGGCTGATGAATTCTCTGGTTTATGTGGCCCTTTCTGTCTCTTGGACTAATACTTTCCTTGTGTCTTTGGTGTTCTTCATTCTCCTTTACTCCAGGTGGTTAGGACCAATTGATGCATGTTAGATGGCTGCTTGCAAGCTTTTAAGACCCCAGATGCCACTCACCAAAGTAGTCTTTCTTGTATCAGGTGTTTCATTAGGGATTGCAAACAGAGCTGTCCCCCACCACCCCGACTAAGGACTTGGCGTTTGTGATGGATTGAATTGTGTCCCCCAAAAATGTCTGTCAGCTTGACTGGGTCATGATTCCCAGTATTGTATGGTTGTGTAATCTGATGTGATTTCCTTATATGTTGTAAACTCTATCACTGTGATGAGGTTATATACGATTTCCTTATGTGTTGTAAACTCTATCAGTATGATGAGGTTATACTGATGAGATCTACATGATTGGATAGTGTCTTAATCCAGTCTCTTTAGAGGTATAAAAGAGAGAAGCAAGCAGAGACACATGGGAACCTCATAGCACCAAGAAAGCAGTGCCAGGAGCGGAGCACGTCCTTTGGACCTGAGGTTCCTGTGCTGAGATGTTCCCAGGCCAAGGGAAAACCGATGCATCACAAGGACCTTTCTCCAGAGCCAACAGAGAGAGAAGGCCTTCTCCTGGAGCTGATGCCCTGAATTTGGACTTGTAGCCTACTGGACTGCGAGAGAATAAACTTCTCTTTATGAAGCCATTCACTTGTGGTGTTTCTGTTATAGAAGCACTAGATGACTAAGACAGAATTGGAAACACTTTCATCCATTTTCACAGAGAGGGCATTATATTTTACTTCCTCACCAAAAATATGGCCTCGAAGAAGACTTGTTACCTCCACAAGCACAGGAGCAGTTGCCCCTTTGGGTGTGTGGATGATGATATTTAGCTTGTAGCGTTTTAGTGTAGATTAGAGTTGAGGTAAGGAGAATGCCTTCCACCAAGACAGCTGCATAGGAGGGGATCAGGAAAGAAGGAATCATTTTCCTTGAGTGAATGTGGTGACCCCTGAAATATATTCACCCGAGTGTTCATCCATTGATCCATCTACCTTCTCATGTATCCATCCATCTCTCCAGCCAGCCAGCCAGCCACCCGGCCAGCCAGCCAGCCACCCGGCCAGCCAGCCACTCACCTACCTTCTCATCCACACACCCAAGTTAACCACCCTTAGGTAAGACCTCAGATATTTCCCATCCATGCTAAAAGTCATCCATTAGCCAGTTGGGCTTTTGTAAAACATTTGTCATCTTCAATAGTGATTAATATTTGCAGTCTTCATTTAGTGGGTGCTCTTTTTGTACCAGGTACCCTTTTCACACATCCTGCAGATGAGATTTGAACCCAGCCCTGCGTACGTCCAGTAGCTGTGCTTTTAGCCACCCATTGAGCTCTTCCCATGGGTGCAGTCCTGGCTAGGCCAGGAACTCAGGATGAGCCCAACATTGTCCCTGTGCTCCAGGGGGCCACACTCAGAGGATCAAAGAATTTTCTCACAGTGGCTTAGAAACATGACCTGAACGCCCCTTAACCTTCCCCTCAGGAGCCACCTACATCCTGGCTCCTAAGTTCTCTGCCTCCTGCTTTTGGTATGACTGTCAGGAGCATGGTGTGACTGTGATCCTGTATGTGGGCGAGATCTTGAGGTACCTGTGTAATGCTCTCCAAGTGAGGGCTCCTGAGAGAGGTGAGGCTATAAGATTAGGGTTCCATGGTGAACACCCCAGGTATGGACATCCAAATGACATCCCAAACAAAGGTCTTAAAGACCAAGGTACAGGGTTTAAGCAAGTTCCCTCAGGTAAAACACCCCAGGTAAGAGCTCCAGATAATAAGTCCCACACAAAGTACCTGATTGTGGCTCATTCATTGACCAGTTGTGCTACCTTGGGCAGGTGATTTCCTCTCTCAGCCTCAGTGTCCTCATTTGGAATATGGGGATAATAATAGCCCCTACCTCTAGGAGTACTGTGAGAATTAAATGAGTTAAATATATGTAGAAGTCCCTAGGTGGTGCAAATGGTTAATATGCTTGGCTGCTAACTGAAAGGTTGGAAGTTTAAGTCCACCCAGAGGCACCTGGAAGAAAGACCTCGTGATCTACCTCTGAAAAACCAGCCATTGAAAACCCTATGGGACACAGATTTCCTCTGATACACCTGAGGTCGCCATGAGTCAATCAGGTTTTAAATATATGTAAGGTGCCTAGAACAGGGTGTGACTCAGGGTAAACTTACTAGATATGAGCCAGCTTCATCCTTACAGAGCAGTTGATGTCTGGTCCCCAGGTAACTCTCCAGTAAGGCCCTCAGGTAATCTCCCCAGGTAAAAGTTCAAGCCAACCACTCCCAGGTAAGATCGCAGATATTTCCCCAGGTAGTCCCCCCTCCATGAGGCCTCCAGATATCCCCCCTGGTAATCCCCAGGTAAAGACCCCCAGGTAACCTCCCTGGGAAAGAACCCAGGTAATTGTCTCTAGGTAAGGTCCTCAGCTAATCCCTCTAGATAATTACTCACAGGTAAAACCCCAGGTATTTCCCCCTCAGGTAAAGGGCTCCAGGGAACTGCCCAGATGGGGCTTCCAGATATCTTTCTGGTAACCTCCATGTAAGGCCCACAGATAATCCTCCCAGGTAGAAGTTCCATGCAAGTCTCCAGATAGTTCCCCCAGATAAAGGACCCCATGTAACTCCTCCAAGTAAGGTCGCAGGTAACTCCCCCCAAGCAAGCCTCTCAGGAACGCCCCTGCAGGTAACCCTCCAGGTAAAGGCTCCAGGTAACTTCCTTCACATAAGAAGCCCAAGTAGCTCCCTAAGTATAGGCCCTCAGTCACCTCCCTAGGTTGCAACCCAGGCAAGAACCTGAGAGTAGTGCCCCTAGGTAAAGACCCCTAGGTAATCCCCTTAAGGTAAGCATTCCAAGGCATGCCCCAAGGGTGCCTCTTCCTCACACACCTTGGGATGTCTCTGCAGTAACCCGAGGACTGGAAACACATGGTCCACCTGGCTATGGGCATCGGACACCAGGCAGAAGTGTGGGAAACATTCCAGCAGCGTTTCAGCCCCATTCGGATCTGGGAATGCTATGGTTCCACGGAGGGCAACAGTGGCTTCGTCAATTATTCGGGGTGCTGCAGGGCCCTGGGCAAGATGAGTTCCCTCCTTCGAGTGAGTAGGTCAGGTGCCTAATGAGACAGTGTCCCTGATTGGTGCCGAGCCCAGAGGGACTCTGCTGATGGCTCCTCCGCTACCCCAGTTGCTGTCCCCTTTTGAGCTCCTTTGGTTTGACATAGAGGCTGTGGAGCCCATGAGGGATGATCGTGGCTTCTGCATCCCCGTAGAGCCATGTAGGGAAACTTCTCTGGGTGTGGGAGGAATGGGGACCCTCAGGCTCCTTGACTGCAACAAGACACCCAGAGTCCCAACACTCACCAGATACCCCAGTAGGGGTATCTACAGCTGTCACTTGGACCCGGAGTCCCTGGCCTGTCTGGCCACCATTCTGGATCCCTCTCTCTTTGCTCTCCCTCAGATCTCACTGCCTCAATTTCTCACTCTGGTCTTCTGGGTCTCTGGGCATCTGTCTCTAAGTTGTTCTCTTGAGCTTTCTGTTGGGATTATGTCTTCCCAGTCATCAGTTGCCTCTTGTCCTGCTCTTACTCCTTGTGTCTTCTCTCATGGGGTCTTGCAAGGCTCTGTGTCCCTCGTCCATCCCTTGTTACTCTTTTCCTGTTTCTCCTGGGCTCCCCTGCTGCTGCCTCCTCTCTCCTTCTGTCTTTTGTTTTCTGTGTCTCCCTGTCCTTGTCTCTGTGTCTCTATGTCTCTACCAGTCTCCAGGTCTTCCCATCTCTGTGTCTCTACCTAGGTCTGTCTGTCTCTATATGGCTTTCTGTATCTCTCTTCATCCCTGTCTCTTTGAGTCTCTTCATCTCCCTATCTCTAGGTATCTGTCTCTGTGTCTCTCCTCTTTCTGGGTCTCTGTGTCTCTCCCATCTCTGGATCTCTCTGACTCTGGGTTTCTCCTTGTCTCTGTCTCTGGGTCTTTATCTCTCTGTCTCTGTCTCCTGCAAGGTCCTAGGTGATGAAGGGTCCACCGTCGTTCGGATTCTTGTTCATAGTTATTACCTCACTCTGTTTTTGTTTTTTTTTTTTGTTACTCCGACCCGCAGGGGAGGCAGGGCTGCTGGTGACCCAGGTGATGAAACTCGCTACCTTTATGGGCTACCGCGGCCCCCTGAGAGCTGTCGGAACGGAAGTTGGTACGGCATGTGAGGAGCCCGGGCGACGTTTACTGTAACACTGTAAACATGCTGGCTACGGACCGCGAGAGTTTCCACTACTTCCGAGACCGCCTCGGAGACAGTTTCCGGTCCGAGACGGGGTTTTGTGGGCCGGACTAGGAGGCGGGGCTTCTCGAGTGGGGGCGGAACCACCGGGGCTTCCAGATCCTGGAAAGAGCAAGTCTGAAAAGGCGTGATTTCCTGATCCTGGAGGGGACAGGTCTCGGGAGGTGGGACTTCTGGTAGTTAAGGGACCTGGGGACCCAAGATTTCTCCATTCTGTAGGAGATGGTGCTTGTGGTTGAGGGGTGAGGTCACGGGGCTCCTAGATCCTGGAGGAGGCGAGGCTGAGGAAGCCGGGGTTCCAGATCCCTTAGGAAGTGAGACTTGGCAGGCATGAGAGTCCTCCCTTTTCCCAGGGACATGGTCGGAAACGCTGGCTTCGCCCCTGTAGATGGAAGGGGGAAAATGTGTCCACGCGGGAAGTGGAGGGCGTGTTGTTACTCGTTGACATCCTGCAGGATGTGAACGTCCACGGCATGTCTGTGCCAGGTGCAGAGGGCTCCCTTCGTTTTAATCCTCCAACAACCTTGTGGATGGAGGGTTGTTATTCTCATTTTATAGGTGAGAACTGCGGGGCATGGAGAAGTGTAGAGACTTACTTGCCCCGTGGGACAGTGATCGATCAGTGGAGCTGGGCCAGGCAGGAGGGTCAGCCACTGGCCCCAGGAGTGCTTGCAGGTGAGGCAGGGACAAGAATGACGGGGACAGCAATGACTGGTGTATTTCCTAGGGTGTGAGGGCAAGGTGGGCATGGCTGCCGTGCAATTGGCCCCCAGCTGAACGTTCGACGGGCAGCAGCTGTACAAGTATGTCCGCGCTTGGCTCCCTGCCTATGCTGCCCCCCATTTCATCCATATCTAGGTGAGCCCAGGACAGTCAGAGCAGGTGGGTGGAGGTCACAATCGAGGGTTTATGGTCACTATCCCTGCAGGACGCCCTAGAGGTCACAGACACTTTCAAGCTGGTGAAGTCTGCACTGGTGCGTGAGGGCTTCAATGTGGGTATCGTCGCTGACCCCCTTTTCTTACTGGACCACCAGGCCCAAGCTTTCTGGCCCCTGATGCCAGATACATACAAAGCTTTGTGCAATGGAACCTGGAGATTCTGACCACATGGTGGGCCCACAGGACACCCAAAGGGACAGGGCACCATGCCGACCACCAACCCAGCCTACAGTGTCCCCTCCATGCTGTTCCTGCATGGGGTTGGCATGAATTCTAGACTGGCTACATCCCCAGCCACACTGTGTGGGACATGAGGACACTGGACCAGGGGACAGAGGGAGAATAAACTCAGATGTGTACACAGACGTCTGCATGTCTCTATGGGTGAAAGGTAGAAGTGAACATGCAGGTCACCCCTTGTCTCTCCACCAGGGACGTCAGCCTGCCTGGAGCCTGTCTGGGAAAGGCCAGGGCTGTGGGGAGGATCTGGCCAGCCTCACATCCACTCCAGGGTGCACAGATAAGTGCTCTCTTTGGTGTCACTGAGAGGGCCCAGGATAGGCCTGATGTGGACCAGTGGAATGTGGATGGTAGCTCTGTGACCTGTGGTCTTAAGTAGGTGGTCAAAAGTGCTATGATGGGCCATCCGATGAGTCCTAGCAGGTAAACTGGAGGTAACAGGAGAATCTTTGGCAGAGGGAACAGCATGTATAAAGGCCTTGGGGCAAGGCATGTAGCAGGGAGCAGCACCCTGGGAGAAGTGTGGTACTCTCCAGTTGAGGGACTGGAAGTGCTTCATAGGAACTGTAAGAACTACAGGCAGGTACCACCACGTGTCTGTCAGTTTTTTGTACAGTGGTGGTTTGAGTGTTGCTGTGATACTGGAAGCTTTACCACCAGTATTTTAAATACCAGCAGGGTCACTCTTGGTGGACAGGTTTCAGTGGAGCTTTCAGACTAAGACAGACTAGCATGAAGTACCTGGCAGTCTACTTTTGAAAAAATTGGTCAGAGAAAACCTTATGAACATTGTCTGAACCGATGGTACTGAAGTAAGAGGTCCAAGCTGCACTGAAGCCACTGGCGAAAAATAAGGCTCCAGGAATCGATGGAATACCAATTCAGATATTTCAACAAACAGATGCAGTACTGGAAATGCTCACTTGTCTATGCCAAGAAATTTGGAAGACAGTTACCTGGCCAACCGACTGGAAGAGATCCATATTTGTGCCCATTCCAAAGAGAGGTGATCCAGCAGAATGTGGAAATTATTGAACAATATCATTAATTCCACACACAAGTAAAGTTTTCTGAAGATCATTCAAAAGCAGTTGCAGCAGTACATGGGCAGGGAACTGCCAGAAATTCACACTGGATTCAGAATTGGACTTGGAACAGGGATATCGTTGCTGATGTCAGATGGATGCTGTCTGAAAGCAGAGGATACCGGAAAGATGTTTACCTGTGTTTTATTGACTATGCAAAGGCTTTTGACTGTTGATCATAACAAATTTTGGATAACATTGTGAAGAATGGGAATTCCAGAACACTTAATTGTGCTCATGAGGAACCTGGACTTAGACCAAGAGGCAGTCACTATGTGGTTTAAAGACAAGAACGGTGTGTCAGGGTTGTATCCTTTCACCATACTTATTCAATCTCTATGCAGAGCAAATAATCAGAGAAGCTGGACTCTATGAAGAACGAGGCAATAGGATTGGAGGAAGACTCATTGTTATGGATTGAAGTGTGTCCCTCAAAAATGTGTGCTAACTTGGCTAGGCCACGATTCCCAGTATTATGTGATTGTCCATCACATTGTCATACCACCAAGAAACAAGAGCCAGGAGAATAGCATGTCCTTTGGACCTGGGGTTCCTGTGCTGAGAATCTCCTCAACTGGGGAAGATTGATGACAAGGACCCTCCCCCAGAGCTGACAGAGAAGGCCTTCTCCTGGAGCTGGCACCCTGAGTTTGGACTTCTAGCCTCCTAGACTGTGAGAGAATAAATTTCTCTTTGTTAAAGCCATCCACTTCTGGTATATCTGTTATAGAAGCACTAGATAACTAAGATACTCATTAACAACCTGTGATACGCAGATGACACAACCTTGCTTGCTGAAAGTGAAGAGGACTTGAAACACTTACTGATGAAGATCAAAGACCACAGCCTTCAGTATGGGTTACACCTCAACATAAAGAAAACAAAAATCTTCACAACTGGACCAACAAGTGACATCATGATAAATGGAGAAAAGATTGAAGTTGTAAAAGATTTAATTTTACTTGAATCCACAATCAAGACCCATGGAAGCAGCAGTCAAGAAATCAAACAATGCATTGCGTCGGGCAATTCTGCTGCAAAAGATCTCTTTAAGGTGTTAAAAAGCAAATATGTCACTTTAAGGACTAAGGTGCCCCTGACCCAAGCTATGCATGTGAAAGCTGGACAGTGAATAAGGAAGATCGAAGAAGAATTGATGCCTTTGAATTATGGTATTGGAGAAGAATATTGAATATACCGTGGACTGCCAGTAGAATGAATAAATCTGTCTTAGAAGAAGTACAGCCAGAATGTTCCTTAGAAGCAAGGATGGGGAGACTTTGTCTCACGTACTTTGGACATGTTATCAGGAGAGACAAATCCCTGGAGGAAGACATCATGCTTGGTAAAGTAGAGGGTCAGCAAAAAAGAGGAAGACCCTCAAGAAGATGGATTGACCCAGTGACTGCAACAATGGGCTCAAGCATAACTATTGTAAGGATAGCGCAGGACCGTCTAGTGTTTCTTCTGTTTACATAAGGGGCTATGAGTGGATCCGGCTCCATGGCACCTAACAACAAACAGCATAGGCAGGGAGCCCTGGTTACGCAGTGGTTAAAGCTCTTGGCTACTGACCGGTAAGTTCGGCGGTTTCAACCCATCATCCACTTTGCGGGAGAAAGATGTGGCAGTCTACTTCCGTAAAGATTAAAAAACAAACCCATTGCCTCAAGTTGATTCTGACTCATAGCGACCCAGTAAGACATAGTAGGACTGCCCCATAGGGTTTCTTTCTCCCATGGAGCACACCTTTCAGTTAGCAGCCGAGCTGTTTAACCACTGCTCCACCAGGGCTCCTACCGTAAAGATTATAGCCTTGGAAACCGAATGGGGCAGTTCTACTTTGTCCTATGCAATCACTATGAATCGAAACCGACTGGATGGCAACAGGTTTTTTTTAGCAGGGACTGGCGGGCGCAGAGCCCTTTGAGAAATTGAATCTGCGGCGTTTCATGGCCCAAAAGTAAATCGTGGAGCACTGTGGGCGCCGAGCCTTTTGGAAGTGAATTTCCCATCGTGTCAGGGGCTTTAAATGCAGTGCTGTCATTGTGGGAGCTGTAGACGGGGATAAGGGAGGCGGCAAACGCTGAGAGCTCTAGGAAATGGAGTCGGCCTTGTCTCAGCAGCGGAAGTAAAGATCGGGACTTTGTAGGTGCGGTGGAAGGGAGCAAGGGAGTGAGGAAACCCCGAAAGCTCTGGGAAACAGAGTCCACACTGTTTGTGGAACGGGAAGTAAGGCCCGGGGAATTATGGGAGCTATAAGCAGGTACCCGGAGGCGCCAAGACCTCTGGGAAGTGAAGTCTGTGTTGGCTGAAGGGCTGGAATTGTCGCTCCAGGCATTGCAGAGCTGTAGCAAAAGGCAGCGCACGCTAAGGCCTCCGGGAAGTGTAGTCATGCCGCCTCAGGGACAGCAAATACCGCCCAGGCATTGTGGGAACTGTAGGCGGGGCTATGCACAAGTGCAGTTGTGGCGGGGCGGTGCACCTGATACAGCTGCCCACAAGCGTGAGAACGGTGTTAGGTCCCGTACCTTGTAGTTTGGGTCGCGCAGCAGTCGCAGTGAAGGTGACCGTATTAACTGGCACAACAGTGGTGCAATGAGGCCGCGCAGAAGTCCTCATGGGGGCGTGTAATGCGCCTGCGAGCCTCGGCCTCGGCGGAATCGAAGCCCTGCCTTGTCAGCCCCATTTGGAGCCTCTCTGGTCACTTCAGCTCGGCTCCCGCTACAAGAATCTTGTCGTTGGTGGCGACTGTGCCCTGGGCGCGGTCCTGAGCTCAGTGGACCGGGCACCGCAGGGCCAGGCCTGTGATTCCAAAAAACAAAATCCTTTGCCGTCGATTCGATTCTGACTCAGCGATCCTATAGGAAAGAGTAGAATTGCCCCATAGTTTCCAAGGCTGTAATCTTTATAGAAGCAGACTGCTTGTGATTACCACCTACGAAATGGTCGTCCTTGTCGCTATTTGCTATTTTTATGCCCTACGTGGCAGAAGGAGTCCGTGTGTTCCCTGCAGGACCGCAGCCCCTTCCCCACAGTAGACTCCCTGCGGTCCAGCTCTCCTCCCCTGCAACAGATCGTCAGATTCATTCAGACTCCTGTTGCCTCCAGAGGGATCCCGGTAGAGAAGGGAGCTTGGAGATTCCGGAACATAGTAGTCTCCCATTCCTGCTTCCGCCAAGGCCCCTCCCCCAGGTGCACTGTAGGTCCACTATCATTCGACACCCTGAGGGACCCTAGCTGGCACACAGCAGCAAAAGCTGGGCTGGCGCCCAACCCATCCCCCAGGGGCCCAGTCCTCATGTCCTACACACAGTAAGCCAAAAACCCGTTGCCTTGGAGTCAATTCCTGCTCGCAGAGACTCTATAGGACAGAGTAGAACTGCCTCATAGGGCTTCCAAGGCTATAATCTTTACAGAAGCAGATCACTAGCCCTTTTCTTGTGATGATCCGCTGGGTGGGTTCAAACCGCCAACCTTTGTTAGCAGTCCAGCACTTAACCACTGTGCCACCACGGTTCCATCTACACACAGTAGGTCCTTGTTAAGGTCTTTGTTCCTGCTGGGACAGAGACCAGCCAGGAAGGGAGCCTGGAGTGTGTGGATGAAACAGCAGAGGCCACAGATGTCCAGTCTTCCAGTCACTTTGTGTGACTATCCCTCAAGACGTGCTGGGCCCTGTTCTCCACACTTCTTTGGGCCTCTGTGCCATGCCACCTCTGTCCTAGAGGCCAGCCTGAACCCACGTACCTCCATTGCTCTTGCTGTGAGTGGACATTAAACTGCTGCCAACCTTGTGGTGAGGAACCCTGCATTACAGGGGTACCCAGTTCAACACG